GGAAGAATCATTGAAGCAAATGCATGCCAAAATACACTATTAGTCCCCACATATAAAAGTTCCACTTGTCTAGCTGGAGGATATAATTCTCTATACATATCATCCCTCTGTATTATTCTTTTCTAATTGCTATTAATTTTGTAATTACAATTTCAATTTTAAGGTATACATTTTGCTAATATTTGGTGGACGAAGGATCTTGAACTCAAGAACACCCTGGAGAGACTATAGACTATGTCTGATTTGTTTAATTTACAAAATATCAACATTGTTTCTTTATGCAATAAGCTACCCTTTTCAGCAAATTTTCACACCCACAAAGATATATATATATATATATATATATATTTACTAGTGGAGATTATATTGGATGGATCTTTTCTACACATCCTTTTCTTGAAATGCTTTTCAGAATTTAGAAGCACATGTATTGATGTCCATGTTGCTTCATATTTTTGTTTGGAGGTACTAGTGATTTTTCTACATTTGACCATCTGACCCTAATAGGCATCAAACACCTAATTAGCATATACCCAAAAATAGGATGAGCAATATGAAATTTTAATCGGTAATCTAGCTAACAGCTACCTGCTAATAGCTTACCAAATAAGCACTTAATAAAGAAGCTAGGCTTCTAAATTAGACAGTATATGCTCTTCTCTCTTAATAGTCAGCTTTGTCAAGAACTTGAAATGTCTTTAATTAGGTGTGATAATGAAGGATGTTTAGGGCTTAAAATGTCGGTAATAAAGTCATCTACAAAGAGGAGATATTTGCATATCAGAATAAAGTTTATTGTTATCTCCAAAACAAGTTAAAAACCTGACCAAATCTGCAAAAAGCTCAAAAACACATCATATGTAGATATTCTAGCATTTTGAATTTTGACTGACCTAAGAACAAATATGACAAAGTTAGGTTAAAGCAATGAACTTAGGACCACACAAGCACATTAACTGATGATTATTCTGCACTTAAAAGTGAATATTTGGGATTCAGAATATTAATATTAGTAGGCTCAATAAGCTTTTTATTATACTTGGAATATAAATATAAAAAAAAAAATTTTCCAAGACTAAAATCTTGATGGGAAAATTAGTGTACCATTGAATGGAATTAAATGGTGTATGGCCACTAGGTACTAGCTGTCTAGCAAAACCTTGAAATCAAATTGCGAGTATGTACTCTTAAGTTTAATTGTTTGAAATTTTATGTCCTTGACCAGCTCCCATGTGCATTATACTCATTGTAACACAGATTGTCCAATAAAAAAAATAATAATAATTAAAGAAAAAAGATCAATAATTTAGTGTCGTAACAGCTATATATGTCCAACGTTCTACTAATCATATCAGCATAGTCAAACTAAGAACATGGAGAACTTACCTAACCACTGATCAATCAGACCAAACTGTATCCATGTAATAAATTGAAAGGTGTTTTCTTATTCATCCCAAAGAATATTTATGGGTTACGAAGAAGAACGGGTAATCCTCCCTTATAATTGATAGAATTCAAACTTGAAAATTTTTATTTTTTTACATAACTGAAAAGATTAATCAGACTACATTTGGTGGGTAATGAAGGGTGTTATTTAATGTGTATACAGCATGTGCTTATTAATTTGGATTTTATGTAGGGTTGTTTCCTGGTTTCATTCTTTCTTTCCCAATTAGGGATTTTGTGTTCTAGAAGATCAGATCAGAGTTGTTGGTGTTTTGAAGTTAAGCTTAACAAGGCATTGCTATTTTCAGTGTTTCTGCTTTGAACATTTCATAGCTTGGCTGTATTATATTCAGCATTCATTTGATTCCATTAATTACATTCTAAAATTGAAAAGATTGGAAAGGAGAAGGACAATAATCTATAAGAAAACAAAACTCATGTCTACTTTTTACAATTGCACTAATTATTATGTATTTTACTTTCTTTCCTTGGAATTTGAATTAAACAAAAGTTGTTTTGAACATCAAATTTGGCAGAGTTTGACAAGAGGCCGCAGAACTCTAAATTGGAAAATAAGTAATTGCATTTATTCAAATCAACATCACATTATGAGCTGCCTCACCAGGAACATTAATAACTTCATGTGCAATCCATTTGTGTATAAATGGAGCTAAATAACCCTCAAAAGATTTATGAGATTGAAACCTCCATGTTTACCCTATTCATAAAATTCTTAAAAGGGGTGTTTTAGGTTAATATTTAATTAACTTCGAAAATTACCAAGCAATCGGGCTACCGAGAAATGGATTGAATTTTTAAACGCGGTAAAATAAAATTTAAAATCGACACTGTTTGAAAGATTTTTTAAGTGAATATTCTTCTGATTCGAGTGTGGAAACATGTGTAAATTCAACAAAATAATACAATTATCTGAAAAAATGAATAAAATTCAATCATTTTTATTTCATGCAAAGACAATGACAAGAAATTTTTCATGCAAAATTTATGAGCTATCAAATAGAAGAAATAGTGTTCTGAAGTCATGTATTAATGGATTGTGCACTAAAAAAGAGACAACTTGTGCAGAACCATTTGGTGGTATTGGAAGAGATAATGCAACAAATTTAATAATGGATACCAAAGTAAATTAAACGACGAGCTTCAGTGCTCCAAGCAGCTAATATTACACATTAATCACCTTCAACATAATTAAGCTATACCCTCTTATCTCCTAAGACACTATTATTGTTGGTCCACCATCCTCATCCACTTTCTTATCTACACTTATGTCCAATATGCTCTTGTCCAAACACCTATACTTTATGATTGTCTTTTAATTATATTATTATTATTATTATTATTATTATTATTATTAGTTTACTTTTCTTTTTCATTTTTTTTCTCTTTTGAAAATGGTCAATGATTATGAACCTATTAAAAACCCATTTTTACTTCCAAAACCTTCTTTTCCATGGTTTAAGTAGTTTTTATTTTTTATTTTTTATAGTGTTCGGTGACATACTTTTGAATTAACTTTTAGAGATTAATGTAACGTTTTATAAAATGTTAACTCGTATGACGTTTAGTTTTTAGCGTTTTTTTTTATAGTGTTCGGTCACACAATTTTTGAATTAGTTTTTAGAAATTGATGTAGCGTGTGACTTTTAACACGAAACGCTACTCGTACAGCTAATAGTTACTGATATAGGTAATTTTATCAAATAGACACTATGTGTAATAATTAGCATAATCCATGATTAGAATATAATCCATAGCAAGTAAAATGGAAAATATGATGGATTATTTGAATAATTAATCAACCCGTAATTGTCTCCACGAACTAAGATTCATAGTCCAATTGATAATTTCCACTACATTAAGTTAATAGTTGAATAAAAATGTAGATTTACATGGTTAATGAGCATCAGATTTCTAAAACATTTATTTTTTTTTTCTATTTTTAAAAATATACATATTGAGATTTCCAATTTGATCGGACAGTCAAGCATGTAATCTATAGTGTGAAAATTCAGCATCTAAAAATCCTAATGTTAATTAGTTTTTTTAATCCAAAAAACAACCATACAAATTGAATTCTATTTTAATCATCAACCGACAATTAAGCAAACAAGTTTAATTAATTAATTAATCTAGGTAAAAGGCTAAACAGACAGGTGGACATAAACAAATAAATAAAAAGGTTAAGGTTTTAGGTGGAATTACAAAATATGCCATTATCACGAGCCTTGTCACTGTCCATAAAAGAAATACAGCAAAATAACTCAAATAATTCATGTTGGGAAAGGAGGAGGTCACGAAAAGATACTAATAAAAACTCCAAAAACTAGTAATATGGTAAAACAAAATCATCAGCGGCTAAACGCGTGAAAAATCCACATAAGAGTGACGTCCGTCCAATCAACTATCGACACGTGCTGTACACACGGCTTTGAGGAATTACGTGTCAAATAACACCAAAATTAGCACGGACACATGTGTTGTTTTGCACTTTTGTTTCTAGTCTCTCTCTCACACCATTTCATGTATCCATTCTATTAATTATTCTTTCTAATTTCTAAACTCTGTTTTGGGTTTTCTAAAGAGACAGAGCTCACTCACACTTTGGCTTTGAATATTATTACCATTTTATTAATTATTTTGGCAATTCTTTTCTTTGTGTTTGACAAAACTAATATTTTTCTATGTTGTTTTCTAATGTGGGGTACCCGATCGGAGTATAAGACACTTCTAAAATAATTTTCAAAAAGATTAAAAGAAAAAAAATGTACTATCTCTTTAAAGGGAATATTGATTTGGTTAGTGTTGCTCACTACACTCACTTTAATTTTTTTTTTTTAATTTTTTATTTTATTCTACAATGTGGATTGAAAGTAACATTTGATTTATTTTAATATAAATTATGTTCATTTAATTAAAGTTTGAGTTAACATTTATAAGCTTCGACTACCATTTTAATTATAATTTCGTCCATCTATTTTTGAGATAAATTATTATGACGTCTTTTAGTTGTATATTTAACTTATTATTATGTCTTTTCATATATAAAAAAAATAATACTTTATTATTATCGTTATCAAACACACTTTTTAGATAGAAAGTGCATTAGATGTCAAAATCTGATAATAAGTTTAAACAAATATTGCACACTAAGACATAGTTTAGTGATAAATCTATATATCACTAACAATTGTATATATAATTGGCAATAGATTCAGATTCAAATTACTTTAAAAAGAGAGATAAAAGTATTAATTAAGATTAATATTCAAATGTATATCAAATTTTTGATTTATCAACACTAAATTAATTCTAAAATTCTTAATTTGTGAACTCCAACTTTAGTCAAAGTACATTTTTTTTTGTCTTGAAATTCTATCCAACTAGGTGTAACGGTAAGTAAAACCTTAATTTTCAAACATAGAAAGTTTGAAGTAAAATAAATATTTCAAACCAATAAAACCTCAAATCGCTAATCCTTTGGCATAACCCATAATTCCATATTCTAGATGTTGCTAACTGATTACTTTTAGAAAGCTTAATGCACGAAGCTGTAGTAGGACCTATTTTGGAGCTTCTAATGCTCTTCCCTTCTCTTCAAAGGCTATAAATACCCATTCCTCTCTCCCCAATGCGTTGCACCAAACTAAAACGCCTCACCGCTCAACCCACCAGGTACCCATCTCTTACCACCTCCCTTCTTCCTCTTCTCTATGCTCTTCTTCAACCATTGTGCAAGATTTTGCAAATTTAAAAAGAGCGATAATAATAATAATAATAATAATAATGATACTTACTGTCCCTGTTTTCCGGTTAAGGATTTGTTATTACCACTCATTTTGTGCCTTCCGTAATCTCAGTAGGAGGATGCATTTCATTTTCATTACTTATTACTCATTACTCGTTAGTGTATTGCCATCATCGTTTTCAAGTACAGAGTTCTGATTAATTTCATGTTTTCTCTGTTTTTTTTTTATTTGAATTATGAATGTCGCAGGTGATGTTCGACCGACCAGGCCAGCCTCAGTGTCAAGCCACAAAATTCCACTTTTCTTTTTCTTTTTTAATTATTTAAATCTCTCTTTTATCTTTCTATCTCTCTAAGCTTTAAACTTTTTATATATTTCACTTCACAGCGCATCCCTACAAACCCACCAACATTCTCACTATTCTTTCTTCAGAAAAAAAAAAAAAAAAAAAAATACCATTTTAATTTAATTTCGTCCATCTATTTTGAGATAAATTATATATGACAAGTCTTTTAAGTTGGTTATAACTTTATTATATGTCTTTTCATATATAAAAAAAAGAATAATTACTTTATTATTATCGTTTATCAAACACACTTTTTTACGATAGAAAGTTGCATTAGATGTCAAAAATCTGTTTATTAATAAGTTTAAACAATATTGCACACTAAGAACATAGTTTAAGTGATTAAAATCTATATCTCACTAACAATTGTATATATTAATGGCAATAGATCAGATTCAAATTACTTTAAAAAGAGAGATAAAAAGTTATTAATTAGATTTAATATTCAAATGTATATCAAATTTTTTGATTATCTAACAGCTAAATTTAATTTCTTAAAAAATTCTTAATTTGTGAACTCCAACCTTTAGTTTCAATAGTAACATTTTTTTTGTCTGAAAAATTCTATTCCAAACTAGATGTACGTAAGTAAAACCTTTAATTTTTCAACAATAGAAAAGTTGAAAGTAAATAATATTTCAAACAATAAAACCTCAAATCGCTAATCTTGGCATAACCCCATAATCCATATTCTAGATGTTGCTAACTGATTACTTTAGAAGCTTTAATGCACGAAGCTGTAAGGTTAGGACCTATTTTGAGCTTCTAATCTCTTCCCTTCTCTTCAAAGGCTATAAATACCCATTTCCTCTCTCCCCAATGCGTTTGCACCAAACTAAAAAACGCCTCACCGCTCAACCACCAGGTAACCCATCTCTACACCTCCTTTCTTCCTTCTCTTCTCTTCTTCAACCATTGTGCAGATTTTGGCACCAAATTTAAAAAGAGCGGATAATAATACATAATGATAATAATAATGATACTTACGTGTCCCTGTTTTTTCGGTTAAGGATTTGTTATTACCCACCATTTTGTGCCTTCCGTAATCTTCAGTAGGAGGAATTGCATTTCATTTTCCTATTACTTATTACTCATTACTCGTTAGTTGTATTTGCCCATCATCGTTTTCAAGTACAAGAGTTCTGATTTAATTCCATTGTTTTCTCTGTTTTTTTTTATTTGACATTATGAACTGTCGCATGGTGATGTCGACGACCAGGCCAGCCTCAGTGGTCAGCCACCAAAATTTCCACTTTTCTTTTTCTTTTTTAATATTAATTCTCTCTTTTATCTTTCTATCTCTCTAAGCTTTAAACTTTTTATATATTTCCTTTCACAGCGCATTCCCTTACAAACCCACCAACATTCTCACTATCTTTCTTCAGAACAAAAAAAAAAAAAAGAAAAGAAAAGAAAAAAAAAAAAGAAAAATGCAAAACTCAAAAAAAAAAAAAAAAAAGAAAAGAAAAAGAAAAAAAAAAAAGAAAATGCAAACTCATCCCATTAAGCTTCTCTCTTTCGTCTTCCTCTGCTTCCCATTGTTCTTCAATGTAAGCCTACATATTGTGTGAATATTTTCTTTATAAATAATTTTATGTATGTTAGTTATTTTTTTTTTTTTGTTTTCTTGCAATGCAGGTGAGTTTAGCCGGTGGAAGACGGTTGTTGGCCGGAGAAAGCCCATTGACTCCGAAAGCATATCTTATCCGGTACTGGAACAAAGAGATCCACAACAATTTACCTCAATCTTCATTTATTCTAGCCAAGGCTTCACCATTAAACGCGGTGGACGCCGTCACTTTTTCCAAACTCGCAGAAAAAAACGCGCTTTCCAGTAAGCTACCTGATTTCTGCTCCTCTGCTCACCTCTTTTGCTTCCCCGATTTATCGCCGAGTCTCGAGAAGCACACTGATGACTCCGATTTTACTAGATACTCCAACCAGAATTTTACCAATTACGGTACGAGTCGGGCGGGTGGATTGGACTCGTTTAAGAACTATTCAGATGGTGAAAATATACCTGTCGACTCGTTTCGCCGATATGGCCGAAACGCAGCCGGTCATAACGAAACATTTGCCAACTATGCCCATGACGGGAACGTCGTTGACCAGAGCTTCAATACCTACGGGCACGGAGCAACCGGCGGGACAGGCGAGTTCAAGAAGTACAATGAGCAAGTAAATGTTCCAAATCTCCGGTTCACATCTTATTCCGATGACGCAAACGCCAAGGGCCAAAAATTCACCAGTTATACCGAAAATACAAACTCCGGAAGTGAAGCGTTCAAGAGTTATGGTAAGAACGGAAATGCAATCGCCGATGAGTTCAGTAGATATGGAGAGAATTCGAATGTGATTGGATCGGATTTTGACAGTTATGGAGCCAAAGGAAATGCAGCTAATGACACATTCAAGTCTTATGGGTTCAACGGAAATGTGCCGGAGAACAATTTCAAGAACTACGGCGAGGGTGGAACTTTTTCAGAAGCTTCTTTCACTAGTTACAGGCAAGAATCCAATGTAGGAGACGATTCTTTTGCATCTTATGCGAAAGATTCGACTGGAGCAAAAGCTAATTTCGTTAATTATGGAAAATCATTCAATGAAGGAACGGATAGGTTTAAAGAATACGGTAAAGGATCAGATGGAAGTCAGAAAATTGGATTCAAGATCTATGGAGTCAATAATTCTTTTACAGATTATGCAAACAAGAAGGGTACCTCTTTTGCTCAGTACACAAGCAAAAGCTCTGCTTCATCTGCAGAAATGAAGGTCAGTGGCAGTTTGGTAAATAAATGGGTTGAGCCAGGTAAATTCTTCCGTGAATCTGAGTTGAAGAAAGGGAACGTTATGCCAATGCCGGACATAAGAGATAAAATGCCGAAAAGGTCGTTTCTGCCCCGGTCGATTATCTCTAAATTACCCTTCTCAACCTCCAAGATTTCTCAACTGAAAGAAACCTTTCACGCCATCGATAATTCTACAATGGAAAGTATAATCCTCGATGCTCTTAGTGAGTGCGAGAGAGCTCCCAGTCCTGGCGAGACTAAACGCTGCGTCGGCTCCGCGGAGGACATGATAGATTTCGCCACCTCCGTCTTAGGCCGCAATGTGGCTGCGCGCACAACTGAAAATGTTAATGGATCAAAGCAGAAGATCATGATCGGATCGATCAAAGGAATCAACGGTGGGAAAGTTACCAAGTCAGTATCTTGTCACCAAAGCTTGTACCCTTACCTGCTTTACTATTGCCACTCGGTACCAAAAGTTCGGGTCTACGAAGCGGATCTATTGGATCCAAATAGCAAAGCAAAGATCAATCACGGTGTTGCCATTTGTCACTTAGACACGTCGTCATGGAGCCCGACCCATGGTGCATTCTTGGCATTGGGTTCGGGGCCAGGTCGGATTGAGGTGTGCCACTGGATATTTGAGAATGATTTGACTTGGAGCATTGCAGATTAAATTAAGCGGCGGCGTGGGTTGGGTTGTGTGATTTGGGTTGGGTCAGTGGCTAAAAAAGTTAGCTGCTGGGTCGGTCTTTAAACATGGTTTAAATTTAGAGTATTTATAAAGTTGTGGGTTTTATTTATTAGACAGGGTTATGGTGTTTTTGAAAGAAAGGTTATTATTGTCAATTATAAATCTCTCATCAATAATAAATCTCACATTGATGTTGAGTTCTTGTTTTGATCCTCATGGAGTAGCATATACTAATTCTATACTTGCATTGTGATTCAAATATTGTAAATTTAATTTTTTTTGTATAATCTTTTATCATGGAAAAGATGTTACAATTGAGAGATCATTAAATCAGAATCAATATAAATTTTTAGAAAATTTTAATGCATTAGGCCAAAAAAAAACCCTAGAGATGTTACACTTTTCTTTTTCTCTTGAGGAGAGTGAATTTACAATGTAAAAATGCTTTTCAATTGAAAAGGAGAGGGAAAAAAAAAAAGAAATGAGGTGGTCCACATATTACAATTTATATAAAATTGATTTGTAGTAAAAGCCAGTAGACAGCCTGTTGAGGCCTTTCCCTCCCCTTTTTTTTTTTTTTTTTTAATTGGCACAAAGAGTATTGGAAAAAACAAACGAAAAATGAGGTGGTCCACAGTATTATCATATTTTTATATAATTATTTGATTTGATAGCTAGTAGAGATGCCACAGTAGACAGCCTGTTGAAGGCCATTTTCCTCCCTTTTTTTTTTTTTTTTTTGTCAATCCATTGGTGCTGCACAGGATGTAAATTATTCTTTAATTTTTATATTTCTTTATTTACTTTTACATATCATAATTAATGCAATATTCCCCCTTTTTTTTTTTTTTTTGTCCAATCCAATGGGCTGCAAAGGATAAATTTATTTTAATTTTATATTTCTTTTTTACTTCATATAAATAATTGCAATATTCATATTAGCATTTTGCTGAGAAATTCCTATTAAACAGTTTGTATTATTTTTTAGTAGTTTATCCATTGATTATCTTTTTTTGTAACACAAGAAGTTAGATATTCAAACTCTTGCAAATTTTTTTTTTATGTATTTTTGGGAAAAAAAATTTGCAAAAAGTAAAATCTTTTTAATATTTTAATGTTGTCATTAACAAAACTTTCATTTGTTTTATTTTTACTGTTAAAGAAGTCCTTAATATGAAAAGTAAAAAGCTTCAAAGTGACTAGAACTTGAATTGAATTATAACTAAATAAAATCAAAATCAGTTTCTAATCTTTGAAACTCATATAGATAAATAATGGTTGAAATAATTTTAAATATTATCATTGTGTAGAAATAATATTATAATTTTAAATTATTTCCTAATTATTATAGTTTCTCTCTTGAATAGAAATATTATCATCTTAAAATATTTACTAATTATTGAAATGCATATCGTAAAATCTATCACATAATATGATATTTCAATTTTATTACTTCCTCAGTCTTTTTACTTTAGAAAAAATTTCTATTTTGGGTGCTTATTTTATAAAGAGAATTTTACTTTAAATGAAAATTTTAGAAAAGATGCCAAAAGAGAAAGTATAAAATGCCCTTCAATAATCCCTTTTGCTGTCTTTGTTTCGGTTCAATTAATAAGAATAGTAGCAAACAAAATGTGGGTTGGCAATTAATGAGCTTATATTTTTAAAGAACGAGTAATTGCTACGTTTGTGAGCGATCAGTAAAAATGTGCTTAACTTTACAAATTTGATTACGAATAAGAGTATTACATCAGCTATATTCCCTAATATAGCAACACACATTTTAATTGTTGCACCCTACTTATAAAAAAAAAAAGTGAATAGCTTTCTATTTACCAGTGCCCTATTTTTAAAAATAATGTAAATCTACTGAAGAATTTGAATTTGAAATTAAGAAGACTCTTGCAATACTTAAAGATTTTAATTAATAAATGAACCTCTAAAATACTCTAGTATAATGAATTGGCTTCCTCACCATTAATTATGTATTTAAAGCTGAATAGGGATATTACAGAAAAAATGGGCAAAAAATTTTGTTAACTACTTTCTTAATCCTAAAACTTTTTCTATTTTTTTCTAAAGTAAGAGAAGGGAGTATAAATTCTTTCAACTTTCCCACCTAAAATTCCTGAAACCGTGCTATTGCTGGCTGTGAATAAGTATGTCGCAGGTATTGGTTGGTCAAGGTATTCAATTCTTCCAACCATTGACGTAAATTACACAATCAGTCAGTCATATAAGTAGTCATAGCACCATCAATGGTGATCAACTGTATCTGAAATGGCCCATGAAATAGAATGAAATTTGACCTTATTTGCCTGCCAATGCTTTTAAATTTGCAAGCTGCAATCATAAAATTCTAAGTCATTGGTCAAATTTAACTAATTAGGAACACTTGGTTTCCTATGCAAAGATGCAACAAATGTGAAACAAATGCACACCGCAATAATTACACTATCTTATGATCCTACCTATCCCTTTACCCATAAATTTCCCCTTCATGGTTGGTGCCCAAATTTATAAAATATTGAATTTTCAATTTTTCAAAAGTTTAATCGTCCGTTGAAAATTTTCTTCGTGAAATTGAAATTTATATTTACCCTATAAATATATATTACAGATTAATATGTTAAATTTACTTTTAAAATCAATCAAATCTAGCTTATTTTTATATTAATAAATCTTGTTTTTTTAATGATTTGCAAACATATTAAAAAAAAATAGTTGTTTTTCATTATAGTTGTCACACACTAACATATCCTATGGGCATTTAATTTATGGAGTTTTGGTGAAATGACCATTTCATCACTTTGTCTAATTTGCTGAATTAAGATTAATTTAATAAATTAATTATCATTCATTAAAAACAAATCTCACAATATGGTTAATATTATATAGTTGATAAAATATTTAAAAAAAACCCAAAGATAATCGCAAATGGGATTTTAATAATACTAATAATTATCGATATACATAGTTAATATTTTAAAAAATCATGTGTGGTCATATAGAAGCCTTAAGATAAAAGAACCGCCGCCAATTTTATATATTGGAGACGGACTAAATATTTGCTGGCAACAAATTAGTTTAATTTTTCAGTTTATGGAGTAATTAAATTGAAGATTATTCTTAAAATAAATAATAAATAATAATTTTGCAATCCAATTTATTTCTCAATAAATCTAAAAAAAAAAAAAGAAATAATAATAGCATGCGCCCGCACAAGAATGAAAGGAAAAAGGGTAATGGATGAGATTGCCAGCTTTTCTTTTCTTGTTTTCCCTCTATTTTTGTCTTTTTTCTTTGTCTCACGTTCTGACTTTTATTCAATTAATAAAAAATTAATTAATTAATAATAATGCAACATGAGATAAATTAAGGATTTGTGTTTTATTTTCTTAATCAACGACAGGTCTCTACGGGAATAATACTACAGAAAAATAATTTTATAATTTGACAATTATTCTATATTTTCATTATTAATTATAAAATGAAAATTTTCATATTATACTTTAGTTATTAATATTTAAATTAAATTAATATTAATCATCAATAACTATTAATTATTATTATTAAATTAATCTTAATACAATGTTGCTGCCAATATAAATGTCAATCAACTACTCCATTTTTTTTTATATATACTTACGGGCAGGATGGATCCAAAATATTTGATCAGAGGGGGTAATAGGGTAATAATTTCACACAAAAATAGAACCATTTCATTGATCACTGCACCAAGAATAGAACCATTTCATTTCTTTTACTGATTAATTACAAGATTTCAAAGTAAACGCGTTAATAATTAATGTAGGGTAGAAAATGAATCTCCAGCTTCAACCAGGAGTTTCATACGATATGAAGCTGAAGAAAAACATATAGTATCAGTAGCAGGAGACTCTGAAGTCTCTCAACCAACTGGGTAGGACCACTCACATTAACGATATCCAGAGACCATAGACCATCCCTCACTATAATTAGTAGATAGAATCGCCATTAAAATTGTTCCTATTCTTAAAGATAACTCTGCATTTACTTTCCCAATAACTGTCATAAGCCATGCCCCCTTTATTGTTCTAACTCCCGACCAACTACTACGTATGCTGTTAGATCATACACATGTCTGCGTAAACACAGAACTTAAAGAGGCTGATTTCAAAACCTTTGGACAATTCATCAGAAATAAATGTATATACTGTACCACCATCTGTTAACTGTTGAGGAGTTTTTATTTGACGTGACCTTATAAAAAACTAGGGTATGAAGAATTGATTCTTTGTCTTTAACACTTAAATTACACGTATACCACGTAATAAGATATAATCCAACAGTATATGCATATATGATTTAATAATGATTTAAATTCGATTCTTATAATTCTCAAAAAGATTACAAATGTACAATACGAATATCAACACAAAACATTTCGTTCACTTGATATTTTGAAATTGGTTTTTATATATTGCTTGCATGACGCATTGAGAGTTGTGGAATTTCTTGAATTTGTGCGTGTAGACTAACAAAATAAGCGACAAGTTGCTGTATACAAGTTTTGGATGAGAATAAGCAGTACATTGAAGATGATGAGGGTAAGGTACCAGCCTCACCATCTTAATAAAACAACAAATACAATGACAATATGGAAGTTATAAGCGGTTCGGTCAATCCTAGTTAAAACAAACCTAATCACTAATCAACTCCAAGAAAGCATCCCGTCATTGAATTAATGATTCTTGTCCTTTTAATCCAAATTTATGATTCTAGAAATTCATAATTATATATTTCTTTGATGACATATCAATTGTTTCAATCTTGAATTTATGATACAAACTAGATTATATACTTATTGGTAAGCTGAGTCTGTAATGAAACAAATATAAATGGATAATGTTTTGTAAAATAAGAGTTTTGTTTTCTGTTTTCACATGGCATACAATAGACAATCTAAGATGTTATAATTAATCCTACATACCATGCATGGCTTGTTAATCACTGTAAATGAAAAGATTAATCAAGCCACCGTCTTGATTAGCTTTGGCTTATGCATTCTTTTGTGGTCATTTAATTGTTGGGTATTAAAGTGTCTAACAATTGCACGTGTATATATTTGTGGCGACACGGAGATGCCTATGGAGGAGCTACTTCTGGGCCAGGGCCATTAATTTGTCACGCTCACTACATCTACATGTGCATATTGTAAGCTCACATCTTTATTCTGCATAAGATATGCATGACTTGTCTTTGTCCTAGAAGGAAGTTAGCACTTCTCGATCCATATTATAATTTAGAGAAAACATCATTATTAGAAAAATTTTACTAATCAATTCACAAAATTTATTAAGTGAGGGATTTTATTTCTTACTTACAATGATAATTATTGAAAGGAATAAAGGCGAATTTGCCATTTAACTTGTTATTCAGGAAAAAATACTATAAAATTCACCATTTAGCTCAATTTACTCCCGAATTTATAATTCACCTGCAATTTTTGCACTAAAAAGTTTAAATTCACGCAAGAATTTAGACTGATTGTTTTAGTTTATAAAGTTTCGATTCTTTATTAATTTCAATTATTATTTTAATAAATCTTTAGTGTATGATATAATCCATTAGGTTGTTGTGAAAATGGCCTTTCAGAAAAAAAAAAAGGTTGTGTGAAAATAAATAACGTAAATAAAGTTTATTTTGTTAAAAATAATTTTTTTTCTCTAAAAAAAGTAGTTCTACCTTTAAAAGTAAAAACAACCGTAGAAAGTAAGGTCCAAAGTATATATGGGCTAATTTTGTGGATATGATCCATTTATATGGGCTCCGTTCTGGGCCTATTTTGTGTGACTCCATATGCCCATATTCGAAGTAACTCGCATCCGACCCAGAAACCGCAAACCCTTTCTTTTCCGCAGAAGAGGCATTTTGCTTTTGCTTAGCGGACAGAAAGAAAGAAAAATGGCGGCCAATGGTGCAAGAAGAATCCTACAATTCTCTTTAGCTTCTGGGAAAACCCTTTTAACCGATTCAACTGCGACTACAACAAGGAATAAAAGTTGCTCTTTTACTTCAAAAGCTGCTAGCTTGAGTGGACCCTCCCCTAAGCCTTCCTCTGGTAGTCGATTATCCCGTCACAAGCTCAACTTCTCCAGGTTAGCTTCTTTTTTTCTAGTTCAATGAATGTATTCGTTTATTATTGAGAAATTTGCATGTTCGTTATTTTCTTGATTCAGAAAGAAAACGTATTCTTTAGAGTGATTTAGTAGAAGGAAAGGAAACTGAAATTGCATGCTGCGTTCTTCTTTGTTGGTTTCTTCGGTAATTGATTTATGAATTATAGACATTGAATGAGGTAATCAAGCCCACAATATAGCAGTTGAGGTTTTTGATTTAGTTCTTTTTATGCATTGAATGCAAAGATTTTGTTTCAGTTACCTCCTTTTACTTGCATTTTTTTTTTTTTTTTTTAAATGGAAACGTTTATTTATATCTCAAATAAGGAGAGCCAGTACAATCAGAAATAATGAGAGCTCTAGTAGTTCGAGGCAAAGAGTCAAAAGAGAAAAAACGGCAAAAGGAATCTATTATTTATATCTCAAATAAGGAAAGCCAGTACAATCAGAAATAATGAGACCTCTAATAGTTTGAGGCAAAGATTCAAAAGAGAAAAAACTTAAAGAATTATGAGTAATTCTGCTTTGAATTGCAAGAGAGTGAGCTACTTGATTGCCCTCCCTGTATATATGTGTGATGAAGGAATTTGAGGATAAAAGGAAAGACTGCATAAAGTGAATCCTATGGTCAGATAAAATATTGTGAGTTTGCTGGAACATTTGAACCAGTTGCAAGGAATCCACTTCTATTTACAAAGGGGCCAGAATTCTTTGAGTACACCACTTGATATTTTCATGAAGAGCTTGAAGCTCTGCCTGAAATGGAGATACAGTTGAGAAGAGAAAGGAGTGGCCAGCCACAAAATTCCCATTTGAGTTCCGAATGACTACGCTGCCAGAAGAAGAAGAAGAAACAGAAAAGGAAGCATCCACATTAATTTTATAAATTGTTGCAGTCGGCTTTCTCCAGTAAACCAAAGAGAGTTTACGGTGATTCCTCTATCCAAAACTAGCAGGCAGCAGATCGGTTAAAGCATTGGCAGGTTTTCTAGTGAACTTGCGAGGTGAACAAGCAACTCCCCAATCAAAAATAAATTTACTAATCTGCTGCTGAAGTAAGTGAATTCCTGCATCACCTTCACCCCAGCTATAATTACAATATAATTTCCATACATGCCACATAATTACTAGAGGAACCAGACGACGAAGGATGCTTATAGTACTTTGTGGCTGAGAAACCAAAAACCATGTTATCAACTCTTGACGTAGCGTACGACAAGTAGAATTGCCGCCGGAAAGCAAATACTTCCTAAAGAAATTCCATACCCATAGAACCTTAGGACAATGAAGAAACAGATGATCAATGGTGACTAATGAACAGGAGCATAGAGGACAGCAATAAGGCCCATTAATCCCTAAAACATTCAAACTATGAGGAAGAGGAAGAGCATCCAGGAGCAACCTCCAAGTAAAGGCCGAGATTTTTTTAGGGATAGAAGAGTCCCACATCATGCTAAATAACAAAGTGTTGCTTTTATGCACTCGAACATGCTCATAAATGACAGCGAAAGAAGGTGACACAACCTCTGCAAAATTATTTAATTCCGAAGCCACTTCATGAACGCGACAAATGCGTTTCCATGAGCAAGAATCAGTCACTTGAAAGGACATAAAACCTTTTCTGTGATACCTCTGAAACATGTAATCTGACTATATCGAATCGCGCTTCATATAGGAGAAACAAAGCTTGACTGAGTATGCATGTTGAATGGAAGAGAGGGATCGCAGACCCAAACCGCCCTCAGCAGTAGGAAAACAAAGGTTCTAGAATTTAACCCAATGATGCTTATGTTTTGAGTCTGTTTTACCCATAAAAAATATGCCAGTTGAGTCTCCAAAATACCAATAACACGAGCCGGAAGCTTCATTGCACCCATAATATGTATGGGAATTGAACTCAAAACATGCTTAATTAAGACCAATCTACCACCCATTGACAAAATTGTCTTAGACCATCCCATAAGCTTAGTAGAGATCTTTTTAATCAACTCACAACAATATGAGATATGATTAATACCTTGGTAAATCGGGGCACTGAGATATGTGAAAGGGAGGCATTTTTTTTAATTGAAAGAGCTGCTTCAATTATTGAGACGGTCAGGGACCCCAATTTTTTCGAACAATAGAAAAATAGAAAGAGCATTTTTCAAAGTTAATCAACTGGCCCGAAACAGCTTGATAATTAAGGAGAAAGTTTTTAAAATTAGCGACACTTCTCATATCCCCCCTTATGAAAATCAACAGATCATCTGCAAAGCCCAAATGAGTAACCGGTGAACAATTTCGAGCAAGTGTATAAGGTTGAATTTTTCCAGAAGAGACAAGATGTTTCAAACCGCGAGAGAAACATTCAGATACCAAAGTAAATAGGTAAGGAGAGAGTGGATCCCCTTGCTTGACCCCCCTAGAAGGTGCGAAGAAACCATAGTTGGCACCATTAACGCAAACTGACAGTCTGGTGGCCGAAAGGTTCGCTATGAGCAGTCGAACAATAGGTTGAGAGAAGCCAAAGCGGAACAATAGGTTGAGAGAAGCCAAAGCAAAACAGGACTGCCTCTAAGAAAGACCATGAGACACGATCAAAGGCTTTAGCCATATCAAGCTTAATGGCAATATTGTTTCCTCTAGCTTTCCTGCCAATTTCATGAATCATCTCATTAGCCAAAAGGATCTTGGAGTGAATTGACCTACCTTTCATGAAACCAGCTTGTTCCGGAGAAATTAAGAAATCCAAAAGTGGAGCAATCCTGTTTGCCAAAATTCTAGTACACACTTTACTAATAAAGTTAGTAAGACAAATAGGACGAAATTGGTCGAAAACTGATGGATTCTCAACTTTAAGAATGAGAATAATCTGAGCGCAACTGAAAGATTGAGGTATTAGAAGGCCCAGAAAAAATTCCTTAACAGCGCTACAAACGTCCCACTGAATAATAGACCAACAGTCTCTATAGAATCTCCCGTCGAAACCATCTGGACCAGGAGCACTAGAAGGATCAAGTTGCCAAACCGCGTTTTTAATTTCAGAATCAGTAGGAATAGCTCCCAAAGCCAAATTATCTTCCGTTGTAATTAATGAGGGAAGATATTCAAGAATTTGGCTACAGTCTTGCTGCATAACTTCACCCTGAAAGAGACTGGAAAAATGTTTGATCGCCTCCTCACCTATGTCTTCCTGCAACGAAAGCCCGCCTCCTCACCTATGTCTTCCTGCAACGAAAGCCAAACACCATCAGAGTTTTTAATTGAGGAGATACGTTGAAATTTCCTTGATAGCTTGACATAATTATGAAAGAATTTAGTATTCGAGTCCCCATCTTTTAGCCATTTTACATGAGATTTTTGTTTCCAGTATATTTCCTCAAGCCGAAGTTTACAGAGTAGGTGAGCTTGTTTTTCCTGCCATGTCTTCCTATTATTCGGACAAGGATCTGCAACATATTCTCTTTCAGCTGTCTCAGCCGCTACTTCAGCATCCTTGATAGCAGAAAAAATGTCACAAAAAATGGTCTTATTCCATTGCCTAATCGCACCTTTGAGAGCCTTGAGTTTAAGATGAAAACCCTTCATCCCCCCTCCAGAAAAAGAGGAGTTCCAAGTGCTCCAGAACCATGGGAGAAAGAGGGATTACTAATGCCAGACATATGCTGATACTTGAAACGCTTAGGTGAGTTAAACAGACTCTTTTTAAATTCAGCAGGAGAGGGGAATGATCCGATGAGGTTTTAATCGAGATGCTTGATCTGCATCAGCAATCAACGAAATCCCAGGATAATTGGTTGGCATAAAGCGATCAACGACGTTCCCACACGCGTCTCAGAACTTCGCGCAGCTCCAGTCCATGTAAAAGGATTGCCTCAAAAAAGGTAAATCACAAGACCACAAATATGGAACAATTCAGAGAAATCTCGCATACTGAGCAGCTTTGGTGAAGATCCACCTTATAACTCTGAAATTAACTTAATAGTGTTGAAATCACCACCAACCTATCCGGCCCCTGAGATCCAATCTGGCCATACTCTCCAGCTTCTCCACAGGGAAGGTCTAGAGACTCGAGAATGAAGACTCATACACAGCAGAGATTAGTGAAAAAATAAGGGGATCTCATTCTTGCAGAAACTGAAAACAAGCTGTATATCATCTTGGAAATTTTCAAGTGCAAAGTGAAATCGATTCCACAATAACCAAATCCTTTGTATTCAAGCTAGTGAAAACAATTATTGGAAACCCAACGAGAAACTAAATGAAGAACATTTGCAAGATAGCACCATAGGTTCTTATAATAATAAGTAGTTTAATGTTGTAAATCCACACAGAGTTTTTGAAGGCGACTGAAGAGGAATTAATACCTCTAAGGTTCCAGCATAATATATTCATTGAAATTAAGGCCTAGAGGCATAAAGCAACTGGTTTTTCACTTAACGACGCGTGACCATAGGCTCAATTGGTTGGGGAGTTTTCTTCCTGTTAAATTTCTTTTTTGTAACAGCAACAAATCCATCATGTAGTTCACAAGCTGCATTCAGTTTATTTCCAATAGAGGTACCAATAGCTCTCAAATTATCTATGGAATCGACACCCATATCCAGATCAGCATCCCCATCAGATTTGTGTCCAATAGAATCATAATCACTAACCGAATGGTCAGGACCAGCATCAGAAAGCCCACCGGAAGCCACGTAAGTGTTGTCCTTCACCGCATCCAAGTTAGTAGTCCCACCTCATTATTCGTCCTTCGTTTCTAATCTCTCCCGCAAGCCGACTACAGCTCCAACCACCGCGTAGTCGCCGCACTCCACAACCTTGGCAATAACAACTCATGCATAGCCGGGTTTGGTCCGGGGGAATTTAGAATTAATCGCTGAAGCAGATGAGAAGGAGGGGGATGCACCAAGTATTTTTTACAATCCAAGCTTTAGGAAGGAGCAACATTTTGTGATTGATTTGGGTATCATGTTTAGATTTGGACAGGTTTTGTGGTTAACAGCTTTTTGGCAGAACCTCCGTAGGACAATGATGTGATCGATTTTTTTTCCCTTTGCAAGATTGGGTGGAATGACCATTCCTCTCACAGGAGCTACAATATTGGAGGAAGACCTTCATATACAATCAGATTGGAAGAAACCATGTCTTTCCATTAATTAATCCAGACTTTGTCATGGTAGTCTCTTTGTTAAGGTCAACTTCAATACAATTCGAGCCACCGAGGTCTGATACGAGAAGAATGTGGCAGCATGCAATCTTAAGAGGAGTCACCAATCAAATTAGCAAAAGAAAGTAGAAGCTCCTTGGCGAATAAATAATTAGGAGTCTTCAAGTGAAAATCCAAGATCGAAACTATAGGACCTATCAAAAGTCGGTCGGAAGTCTGGAGACCATTTTTTGAGACCTGTCATGGCAAAAACCATTGAAGTACGCAAGATCTGAAAGAAAGCAGCAACGGAGAAAATCAATCTCCTAATCAAAGTTGGATCAAAAACATTCTTGGGCATCATAATCCATTGAAAAGGGGCCTTTGAAGCCCACGGATAAAACTGTTTCCTTAAGAAAAGGCATGTTAGGTCGCCAGAATTGAATAGTGCCAATAAGTTGCAAGATCGAAAAACCGGAGAAATATTGAGTTACATGCATCTAACAGAGAAATCAATTGAGGGAAAACCCGTTAAATTTTGGCCACATACTAAATATTCGACAATCTCCTGTTTATCCGATATTGGACGCAAAGGAGCGAGATCATCCAATGAAACGAGGGGTAGAGTTGCAATCAGAAAGGGCAGCAGCATAGGAGCGGGCCGCAGGCCTCAATAATATTCGACAATCTCCTGTTATCCTGAATTGACGCAAAGGAGCGAGAATCATCCAATGAAGAGGGAGTAGAGTTGCAATCAGAAAGGGCAGCAGCATAGGAGCGGCCGGCAGGCTCATGTGGAGCCGCCGCCATCACAAGAGGTGATACCAACGCCGTTGTACTTTAGGTGCTTGGATTTGAGCGAGGAAAGTTCTTAATAAGGCGTGACTGAACTGCAAGAAGAGGATCGCTGGTGGTGCGACAGAGACTCGCTGAGCCTGTTTCTTGATCCTTTTACTTGCATATATTATCTCAATTAAGATATATTTTAGGGCCTCAAATTTTCAAAATTTTAGTCTGTAATCAAATGGCATATTAATACTAGTTTGGATGTAGCAATGTGTTTATCGTTGTTCTCTTATTTTATAGTATTGTGTGTTACTCTGTATCAATCCCAATTATGGATCATTGGCTTTATTTAAAGGTTTTGAACTTTTTATTGTCACCAAATACTCTTTATGGGTGGTAATAAACTAATAATCCTGTTATTGTAATCCTAAGGAGATTCACTTCTTGGCTTTTATAGGCTTCCTGTGGAGTTGGGTGGCGCACAATCTTTGATTCCATTGCATACTGTTACCGCCTCTGCCTTGTTCACCTCATTGCTATCGTTGCACAATAACACCTGGGGATGTCTATCTGAAGGTAGTTTTAAAATTGATCATTTGTTATTTAACTTTCCTATTAATGTCCTGTGATTTGCAATGGCATGAACTAGAGCCTTGTAACTATAACATTGGCTATTTACCTGGTATTTTCTTGTTTTGCGCCCTTATCATAGTATTTGTTGATCCATTGGTGCATTTTCTTTTGTCTTACTACTTAACTCTCCTTCAATACCAGAAATGAGTCAAAATAGCAAATCTTCATGCCTGTGCCAATTCAGAAATTAATAATTACGTTGACAGCAAATTCCTGGTTTTTAGGTTGACATGGAAGTCGGTGGGAAATTCATGAGTAGGAAAAGATGAGTGGAGTTCCTAATTTTTTCTTAGATCTCTTATATGACTCACATGATAATAGGAACAAAACCCGCATGCATTACCCAAGATCAACTGGAATTTTTTCTCACATAACACTATTTATTCTTTTTTTTTTTTTCTTTTTATTATTGATTTGGCTCCTTCAAGTTTTCAGAATTTACATATAGCGATTCTGATTTCTGCTAACTTTATTTTGTGACAACATACCTATTCAGATAAACTGTTTTGTGATGAGCTTTGTTGCCATGTGAAAAATGAACTGTGTCATAATTATTGATTAGAGGTCGTTAGAGTTTGTTCTTTTAAAATTGAAATTCACACGACTTAATTATAAAAGCTTCAAAACAACTAAATTGTACTACCACACTGCTTTTTCTTTTTTTCAATATAGCATCCAAATTGGTGCTTTTTCAGAAAAGACGTTTCAGTCTCGATGCCAGACAATCTCTCTGTGTACAAATCGGCCTTGTATTGTCTAAATGCATACTATAGATAACCTGCAATTCGACTCTATTAGATTGCTTTAGATGGTTGTTCTGGGTTAGTGCACCTCTATGACAATCAACTCGATAGATCTTATATATCCAGTGGAAGCTTGGGAATTCAGAAATTATAGCATTCAAATTACGTCTGACGACCTTTTATTTGCTTTGTTGGCAGGATTTGCAACACCTCTATAACATGGCCTGTGGACTTCTATTATGGCTACCAGCAAGATAATCAGCAGGTGCAATGTAGCATGTTCTTTTTTTTTTTCATAATTAAACGAGACATTTTGGAGTTTGTTTGATGTTGTATTCATTGCATGTCTGAGGAGGAGTCTTGAGTTTTGAAAGAAATACAAATTGCTGAGTAACTAGCAAAATTGGCAATTAGTTACAGTACACTTTGACCCATTTATATTTTGCATTTAACCTTCGTTGAAATTGCTTAATCATTCAGCATTCTTGAAACAAAAGATGGTTAGTTATAACTAATCTATGATAATGGGGAACCATTGATAAGTTATATTAAAGCGTTCCCCTGACCTCTTCTTCCTCCTGCTAAATGGGAATGAAACTAGAGTAATAGATTCTTTTCCTTTTTTTCATTCAAGAAAACCTGAAGTTGATGTTAAATGGCCGGTCTGGTACACATTTTAGTATGAAATTTGACTGATACTGATACACATTTTAGACTATAGACTGTTTTGTCAACAGAAATAAATGCGAGAATATTTCAATTTTTTGAAAAGTCAAACTTACGGATCAAAATTAAATTTTAAGAATTCAAAAAAATGGTACGCGCTCCGTGACAACCAAACTGTTAAATTTTAATTTTTCACACAGATAAAAGAAAAAAAATTGATTTACCTTAGTTTTTTCATCTCTTCTATTATATAATAATTGATACTTTGACCTGGACTGAACTTAATCTTAAAGGCGCAGGTTGTGTTTTCACAGATTCACATGCCCCATATTAGAAACCCAAACTGGTTTCCTTGGCCTTTATTTAATAATAATGTCCAAGCTTAAGGTTGGTCAATGCTTGAATAATAGACACATAAATTAAAATTTAATTAATTTGAAGATTACTTATATATTAAAAAAGATTTTAAGTATTAAAAAAAAAAAAGAGATTTTAAGTCAAACATTTAAGCTATTTAATTTATCTACCTTAATTTAAAAAAATATATAATATTATACCGAAAAAATAATGAAATGTAATATGTGTAGAGTATAGTTGCAATTTCAGGAATTCATTGGAAATTGCATATTAGATAGTTTTTCTTTATTTTTTCTATTTTTTATTTTTTATGGTTGTGCTGGGAAGAATGTTTTTTAAATTTACACAATAAATAAATACAGTTATTGATTCTGCTTTATAATAACGCGATTATGCTTTCTTTTGCGGCTTGAATTTTCTACGACAAGATATTGCCGTGTTCCTCTGCCGCCTTTTTGTTCTCATTTTCACACACAAATTAAAGGCTCTCCACACTTCAAAATCACATACTTTGAAACAATTTGTATTTAGAAAATATTTTTTTGAATAACATATAAATATTATTTGTTAATCAACTCATTTTTATTGTTTAGTTGCAGTAAACTAACTAAAATATTAAAAATTTTATTTTATAAAACTATGAAAAAATTAGAATTAGAATTATATGACCTCTAATGAATTGAGAAAAAAATTTAGAATTACAAGAATTTCAAATTTTAAGAATTTATTATTAAATATTAATAGAAATGCATTAAAATGACAGAAATTAGATGCTCGGGGTGTATGGACCGTCTCATACACCAAATTAATCAAAATATATTTTTGCTTATAACGTGAGTATTTTGACTAGAAAGAATTTACTTACGTCTCATATGTGAGCCTTATACATAAACTAAATTAATGAAAAATAATTTTTTGGTCAAATAGAGGTTTTATGATTATTTTTTGAAAAAAAAATATGGTTAAAAGGGTAACAATTTTTTAAAATAACATTTTTTTATTAGTCACTGGTGTATAGGTAAATTTTATCATTTTTGATCATCCATTCAAAAAATAAATAAATAAATAAATCATTAAAAAATTTCAAAAAATCGTTCATTCATTTGTTTGATGTACAGAGTCGCAGATCTCTTTTCTTAAATTTTTCTAATAAAAATATATAATTTATTTAAATTGATCTATAAATTTTAATTTATTTATGTCTTTGATATATATTTCTTTTAAATCATATGTTGAACCGCGGATAAAAATATTTCTATATCCGTAACTGGTGGTCCTAAACACCATATATAAAATCAAATCTTATCCTAAAAATGGTGAATTGTGATTGTCATTAACAAACGAAACCTTTGGAACTAACTGTGAAACCCAATAATTATTTGAAAATTATATTCCCGACCATATACACCCATGAATTTGACACTACACGTCTCAATTCAAATCTACGATGAGTTTATGAATTCTATTCCCTTATATATAGTCTACTCTTTTTTTTTTTTTTTTAACCAGGAAGTTTAATCCCATTCGAATCATAGAGCATGAAAATTTTTGACATTCTCAGCAAAGTGCGCTACTCGGAGATCTCGAACTTGTGTAGTCACTCTCACCGGATTGAGTTCGCTTATATATAGTCCACTCCTTTTTGATATCCTATTACACAGTATTATTTTCTCTCCGATAAATGTACAAGGTCTGGCTCCATACCTATTAATTTCCTTCCCAGACATTATTTATCAATGGAAGGAAGTAATCACTCATCTAGAATTCAAAGAAACTTGAAAGAGAGAGATCGAAGAATGCATTTAAAAAATATCCTTGCCGGCCTTGCTTCTGTTCTTCGTCCCCGATCCAAGGTTGTCTCTCTCATTTTCTTTTCTGTTCTTCTACAGCTATTACTGGAGTTAGTTTGGTTCTCTCCTTCCTTTTAAACATAACTAAATAACCAAACATATATACAGTTATCAGCTCCTGAACTGCTGGAAGAAGCTGCGAGTCATATAAAGCAAATGCATGCAAGAATAGAGGAACTGAAGATAAGGAAGGCACAAGCGCAAGAAGATGATGATTCTTGCAAAGATCAACTGGCAGCCGGAAATTCAAGAATGTTACCGATATTAGATGTAAAGAGTAATGACTGTACAGTAGAAGTGAATATAATAAGTGGGGTGAGCAAGAACTTTATGTTACATGAGGTTATTACTGTCATGCAAGAAGAAGGAGCTGAAGTAGTTAGCTTTTCATGCAATAAAGCTGGTGACCGTTTCATCTACACAATTAAGTCCCAGGTATAAATATATGTGTGTGTGTGTAAATTTTGTTCAATATAGTAATGGATTCGAGTCTGATAGATACATATCTTTGCAGGCAATTTGTTCAAGAATTGGAATAGAGACACGAAAAATTAATGAGAGATTGAAGGACTTGGTACAGTAGCCTAACTGGCTTGAATGTACCTCAACCATGTTTGGACCACCTAATTGATCGGTTCAATTCGATTTGATCTCTAAGGTGTTTAGTTTGATTTTGGTTCAAGTAGAAAAGTTAAGAAATATTTTGATTCAGTTTGGTTTTGATTATATTGAATTGAAAAATCTAATTAAGAACTGAAAATCAAATCGAATTAATCCAAAAAATGAACCAAACTCAAATAATTAAATTAAATTGAATCGATTCAATTTGATTTATATTTAGAAACTAGAAATTGCATACTCTAGTCCCGAGTTGTATATCGTGTATTGTTTCTTTCTTCAATGGAGATCATTTTTAATTTTCTCCACAATATTCAATATATATGTATGTATAATTATAATAAATGATTACATATGTGCTTATAAATACTGTTTGCAAGTTGGAAGAACTAATTAAAACTTATTTTAAATGGAAATGAAAATAAATGTTACAATTGAAAGAATTTCATTCTAAAATTAATCTTTAAATAATTAAATAAAATTAAAATAATACTTATAAATATATATAACTTTAATAAAATAAAAATAAAAATATAAAATTAATACTAGTAAGACAAAAGTCACCTTATTTTGCGACAAAAACTTCCTATAGTTTCACTCGTGGCCAGTCAACCTTCCGAGACTCGCCTGACCGGTGTACTTGTAAACTAGGATCCGATATTTTTTAAACAACCCAAGTAGGAGGCCGAAGTCCAACCCAAATACCCAATTAATAAAAATGTTCCTGGTACTTTTGCAATTTCCATTATTATCTAGACTAAATCACAAGAAAAAAAAAAAAATCAATCAATCAATCTGTGTCTGTCCATCTTCTATAATAATAATAATAATTATTATTATTATAATAATTGGTGGGAATATTGAGATTAAAAAAACGTTTCTACTGAATTAGAAACTAAATTTATAGATATATAAAAATATAATTAAGAATTTTAATTTAATTAATTGAAAAAATAAAATGAATTAATTTTGAATGGTCATATTAATTTTTTATTTAAATCGAAACTCTATCGGATGTAATAAGAAATTATATTATACAAACTCAACTGAATAAAATAAAAAAAATTGAATTATGTACTATTAAATATAGAAGTATATAATAATTTTAAGAATTTTAATTTAATTAGTTGAAAAAATAAGATAATTTAATTTTGATTATATATTATTTTTATTTAAATTTAAAGTTTATTAGGTAAATTAAGAAATTATATTATATAATTTTTAATTTACTTAGTTGAAAAAATAAGATAATTTAATTTTGATTATAATATTTATAAGATAATTTAATTTTGATTATATATTATTTTTATTTAAATTTAAAGTTTATTAGGTAAATTAAGAAATTATATTATATATTATATATTAAATATGATAAAAATATAAGAATAGAAAGAAGGACCTGCAACCTCCAAAAAATAGTAAATAAAAAGGATACGGGCGAAGCCAACCGACAATTATTCATTCCGTATTGACGATTCCAAAATCATTACGAATAGACGCACCACCATATTACCGTTGCCTCAACGTTCCAAAAATCTCAAATTTTTTAAAAATTCTCATCCAACTTACCGTTGCCAACGTCCTCTCAGTAGTCACTGCCCTACCTCTCCTTCCCCTCTCTCTCCCTTTCTCTTTTCCTTACCAATCACCACCAGCCATGAAAACCCCCAAATTCTGAACTCAAAATCTAAGAAGCCCTTTTCTTTCCACACCGTTCATGATCTTTCTTTAAAATCTCGACTGAGTTTCTTTAAATCTTGGTAGGGTTTGCCTTTCTTGATTCTAGTTCTTGATTTTCCGGCCATGGCGGCATTGGCACCTGGAATTCTATTGAGGCTTCTTAATGGAATGGATACAGGGACAAAACCGACCAGTGAGCATAGAAGCTCGCTTCTTCAAGTGACGGATATTGTCCCAGCTGATCTTGACGAGAAAAATCTTTTTCCTAAACATGGATTCTACATTAAAGTATCTGATTCTTCGCACTCAATTTATGTTAGTCTTCCCTCTGAGCAAGATGATTTTGTTCTCAGCAATAAAATGCAGCTAGGCCAGTTCATTTATGTTGATAGATTAGAGCCAGGTTCTCCTGTTCCTGTTGTTAAAGGCGCAAAGCCACTTCCTGGAAGACACCCGTTAGTTGGCACACCGGAACCATTAATGGGTTTAAGAAGAAAAGGGGAAAGAAATGAACAAAACCCTAATTCAAAAGCCTCTGGTCATAGGAGGGGTTCTTGGGGAACAGGACAAAATTGGGATAATGGGGTTTCGTCTCCAATGGTTTTAAAGCCAATTCCTTTGGATTTTGATCAGTGTACGCCTGCTAAACAGCGAGTGAGTTGTGCGAAAGTAGCATCTCCCATTATAAGAGGGAAAATTGGTAAAGATGGAAATGGGAGTGCAATCAGGTGCTCATTTGGTGGTGGTTTGCTTGCTAAAATGGTGGACACTAAAGGAGAGAGTCCTGCATTACTTAGAAAAAGCTGTGCAGCAACTTCTGCATCAAAGTTTCCAAGAAGCAAAAGTGTTTGTGAAAGAGAGGCGAGAATTCCAATTAGTCCCTTCAACTCATCTGTAGGTACATTTTTCCTCAATTATGAATTTCAAGTCATGCCCTGTTTTGCTCTGTTCTGTTTTTTCAAAGAATATTCTTTTTGTTCTGTGTTTTTTTTTTTTTTTTTTTTTTTTTTTTTTTTTTTTTTTTTTTTTTTTTTTTTTTTTGTTCACTTTTTTTTTTTTTTTTTTTTTTTTTTTTTTGTCACTTACAATATAAACTGTTGCTCTTTTATAGGAAAAGAAAAGCGCAACTCCACCCCCAAATTTGAGGAATGGAAGAGTGGTGACTTCCCTCAAAATGGATGGAGAATCACAGAACTCTAATTCAAAGCCTGCCCCAGAACCACAATTTATGTGCAGTAGCAACTCTGCTTCTGATAATACTACAACTTTGCCCATCATTTTGCCAGGAAAGTTGAGCATACTTGGAAAGGTGAACTTGGAATTCCTAACAATCCTATTAACTAAGCTATGTTTGATTCGTACTGTGATTGGGAATGGAATGCAGTTCTTGAAATAAGTTTCATTTTTATTTTTTGGGTTTGGTTCAAAAATCTGAAACTAATTTCATATTTTTATATTTACATAGTTTAAATTTACATCAATGACATCTATTTCTTTATATAATCTTAAGTATGATTTATCAAATTCTGTTTAGTTAATTAAAAAATAAACTTAGGTATAGAATTTTTTGGATTTGCATATCTGTTCTCATTTTCATTTTCATTTTCATTTCATTTCCTTTCCAAGATGAACCAAGCATGCAGTATATTGGCCTTGTTTTGCTAATTTTTGTGCATAACAGGAAGCTGTCCAGCAGAGAGAAACTGCTCAAAAGATAGCCCTGCAGGCCCTAAGAGATGCTTCAGCTACTGAAACTTTAGTTCGATCTCTCAAGTACTAAAACTTGCCATGTCTCATCATAGTTTTGTTACATTTTGGATTTTTTTTTTCTTGTTTGTTTAATTAATTGGTTTATCCATTATCTGATATTGCAGGACGTTTTCAAAAATAACTAAAACTGCTAAACCAGAAGCACCAACAGCCTGTTTTGACAAGTTCCTTGAATTTCATAACCAGATTGTTCAAGCAGTTACTGACATGGTGTCAATTCAAGCAGCTACTTCAGCGACTGAAATTGGTCAGAACCCAAAATTTGTTGAACAGAAAGAGAAGAAGCCTGAAGAGGAGTTTCCAATCTTACACGAAATTGTACACAATTCTATGAACTCAGAATTATCTTCATCAAAGAGAAGAGCTGCATTATACAAATCAGTTGCTGCATTTCCTGAAAGAAGAAACCAGACAAACACTAACCAAAAGTCATCCAGAGGTCAAAAATTGGCTCTTGAAGCTATAAGTGAAAATGATGAAAACAAGATACCAGCAAATGGCAGTTTAAGCAACACAATTAAATTGGGTAAGCAGATTGAAACTGAAGCAGGGAATTGGTTTATGGAGTTTATAGAAAAAGCTTTGGAAAATGGAATGAAGAAATCATCTAAAGCAGATGGGGATGCAAAAAAAGTTCCTCAGTATTTGATATTGAAAGTTATAAACTGGGTTGAAGTAGAACAGTGTGAGTGCAGTAAAAGGCCAGTGCATCCTAAAGCATCACAGATAGCAAGAAAGCTAAGGATCAAGATGAAGAACCCTTGAAATTTTAATTTTGACCGAGTAATCTTGATTTTATCATATCATATGTATGGTATTGTTTGTGAATTATGTTGCATTTTATGGAAATTTATATTGTTTGCACGTATATAAGTTCTACTTTCTAGTAATTTTTCAATATTCCAATACCATAAAGTTCCATAAAACAATGGAGATTCTCTATATTCCGGAGCCCTCCTTGGTAAAATTTTTAAGGAGCAAAACATATTTCTCAATATTTTAGGGAGGGCAAAATATATTTTGTATATACTTTTTAATTTTGGGGTCAGTCTATGCTTATAGCATATATTTTTTTAATTTATATAGTTTTAGAGAAAAAACCTGGTGTAACTTGAAACTTTGCGATTGACCTATTATACTTCTGGAATTATGTAATTTTCATATTTTTTTAACTATCTAATAAGTGTTTAATTGATCTAATTTTAGAATTTTAAATATTCAATAGTATAATTTTTACAATTTGAGGTATTTAATTGGTATAATTTTATAAATTGAAGTATTTAATAAATCAAAATAAAAAATAAAGATACCACATGATTTTTTTACGCAAAAGTACATACAGCTAACTGTTTTTCAATTACACTAATTTCTAAATATTTGAATGTTGAGTCATTTGACATAATTGGAAGTTAGCTAACTGTTTTTCAATTACACTAATTTCTAAATATTTGAATGTTGAGTCATTTGACATAATTGGAAGTTAGCTAACTGTTTTTCAATTACACTAATTTCTAAATATTTGAATGTTGAGTCATTTGACATAATTGGAAGTAGAGTATAATTGGATTTGAAACAAAATTATTCATATAATCAGCATTGAAATAATGTCAAAAAAAAAAAAAAAAGCATTGAAATGTGAAAATCATTTCAAATCAATTCATATATTTCATAAATATTTGTCTTATTTTTTTTATACTTGCACGGTAAATATTTGTCTTATTGAATAGTAGCAGTCACGATTACTTTATAAATCTTTAATTCAATTCCATAATTTTCATTATCAATATATAAGATAAATTCTAAAATTTAAGATTCACAAAGTCATTAAATTAGTAGCTTCCATTTTGTAGTTCACCGGTACTTCAAAGTCTAGGTCATCCCTTTTCTTTAAAAATTTTGAATTATATAAAAAATAATTAAAAAAACTATATCATTGAATAATTACCATATCATGATTTTACGAATTTTTGAATTTTATAAATTTTTTGAGTATTTTTTTTTTAATTTTCACTTTTTTTTCTTCGTAGGATGATGTCCAAATAATGTTTTTAAGGATTTTAAATTTTTGGTTTAATATATAAACTAATCCGTCTCCGCGTGTAAAAACTTTCTTCAGATTTTTCTCGATAAACCCCTAGCACTTTCTTCACTACTCCAAATCCGAGATTCACGCATGGATCTTCTCCGAGGTTACAAAGACGACGACGAATTAGGCGAACATGACCGTCAAAACCCTAATTCTTCACCGGATTCATCTCCTCCACGCCTCCTTCCCGCCAAATCCACCGCCCCGAAGGTCGACGATACTATGTTAGCCCTGACGGTGGCGCAAGCCAACAAAACCCTATCTAAGCCTATTGATCCCGTCAACCACGCCGTCGCCTTTAACCCTACCTATGACCAGCTCTGGGCTCCCATCTACGGCCCTGCCCATCCTTTCGCCAAGGACGGTATCGCCCAGGGAATGCGAAATCACAAGCTTGGCTTCGTGGAGGACGCCGCCATCGATTCGTTTGTCTTCGACGAGCAGTATAATACATTCCACAAATATGGGTACGCTGCTGATCCCTCGGCTTCTGAAGGTAACAATTACATTGGTGATTTGGATGCTTTGAAAAAGAATGATGGCATTTCGGTTTACAATATACCACAGCACGAGCAAAAGAGACGAAAATTTGAGAAAAAGAAGGAAACCGAGGAAGGTGAGGATGAGGATGTGGGTCCGGTTGTTGATAAGGCGGAGATTGAAAATCCGGCGACCGATGCTTGGTTGATGAAGAATAGGAAAAGCCCGTGGGCTGGCAAAAAGGAGGGTTTGCAAACAGAGTTGACGGAAGAACAGAAGAAATACGCAGAGGAGTATGCAAAGAAGAAAGAAGAGAAAGGAGCTGGAGCTGATAGAGGAGAGGTTGTTGCTGATAAGAGTACTTTTCATGGCAAGGAAGAGAGGGATTATCAAGGGAGATCCTGGATTGCGCCACCTAAGGACGCTAAAGCAACTAACGATCATTGTTATATACCAAAGAGACTTGTGCACACATGGAGTGGACATACGAAGGGAGTTTCTGCAATAAGGTTTTTCCCCAAACATGGGCATTTGATTCTTTCTGCAGGGATGGATACCAAGGTGAAGATATGGGATGTGTTCAATTCGGGTAAGTGTATGAGAACTTACATGGGTCATTCAAAGGCTGTTAGGGATATTTCATTTTGTAATGATGGTACTAAGTTTTTGACTGCTGGGTATGATAAGAATATCAAATATTGGGATACAGAGACTGGCCAGGTTATATCAACTTTTTCAACTGGGAAGATCCCTTATGTTGTTAAGCTTAACCCTGATGATGATAAGCAGAATATATTGTTAGCGGGTATGAGTGATAAGAAAATTGTGCAGTGGGATATGAACACTGGGCAGATTACTCAGGAGTATGATCAACATTTGGGGGCCGTAAATACCATTACTTTTGTGGATAATAACAGGAGATTTGTTACCTCAAGTGATGATAAATCACTTCGTGTATGGGAATTTGGGATTCCTGTTGTTATCAAGTATATTAGTGAACCTCACATGCATTCTATGCCATCAATCGCGGTTCATCCCAACACAAATTGGTTTGCAGCACAGAGCTTGGATAACCAGATTCTTATATACAGTACCAGGGAAAGGTTTCAGTTGAATAAGAAAAAGAGGTTTGCTGGGCATATTGTGGCAGGTTATGCTTGCCAAGTAAATTTCTCACCAGATGGACGGTTTGTTATGTCAGGAGATGGTGAGGGTAAATGCTGGTTTTGGGACTGGAAGAGTTGTAAGGTTTTCAGGACACTTAAGTGTCATGAGGGTGTGTGCATTGGGTGCGAGTGGCATCCATTGGAGCAAAGCAAAGTGGCAACCTGCGGCTGGGATGGCTTGATTAAGTACTGGTGAGTAACACCTCATGCCACAATTTTCACACGTAGCAATTTTTTATTTTGGATGCTGATATCCTTGTATTGCTATTTTCTGGTTCATATGAATTTGTCCGCTTGCATTTGCTGGGTCTTTGCAATGGATGTTCCAATCTTTATGAAAGTGGTCAACATTTAGGCTGCATTAGTAAACAAACATTTATTTGCTGTCACAATATTTTAAATGGATTTTTGCATTCCAAACAAAATGAATTGGCGCTTTCTTCTTGTCATTTAAGATTGATTTCAACCCTTTAGGATACTAAAGGACATTTTGAATTCAGTTTAGTATTATCTATAGTTAATAGAGCCATAAGAAAACAAAAGATTTTGTGTATTTGTGCAAATTCCCAACTAGTTTGTGGCTAAGGCTTGGCTGCTGTTGTTGTGCTGCTGCAAATTTTCAAAATCATGTTGTAGAGTCACATTCCAACTAGTTTGGTGGCTAAGAGCTGGCTTGCTGCTTGTGTGTGCTGCCTGGCAAATTTCAAAATCATGTGTAAGTCACGACTCCCTTATATATTACATTATCCAGACTTCTCGCATTTTGTGTTATTTATATATATATATATATATATATATATATATATATATATTAATTGGGAGCACAAGAAGATGAAACAATATGCATTTTGAATGGAAGTTTCTGTAAAGAGTTGTGAATTCCATTGCTTTGGCAGACATAACCCTCTTAATTTCCTCTTTCAATTATTCAACATCTCCTCTGCATTGTTACTTGGATTTATTCTCTTTGAAAATTTACTTTGCATTTTCAGCTTATGCTTCTGTGCATCTATGGTGCAATTTTTAGCATGCATGGTTATGTATTACTTCTCATTGCTGACTAGCAGTATAGATGCTTACTATCACGTAAAATCAAGCAAACTCATTTCATCATCAAAATATCTCTTTCATTACTTTGGTTGAATGGATGTCCAAAAATTAGTCATGTCATGTATCTGATACTTGAAATAAGGCACTGGGGCAGAATTCTAATGTCTTTGTGAGGCTTGGTTTTGCATCCATCCTGAATTGGAATTGCTCTATTCTAGATCACATCTTCTGAATATTTGCTTCGAGCTAGTCTGCTCATTAAGATGATGCATACTTCTTTCTGATTGAAGTTTGCCATTCTCTTCCATGGTTGACCAGGACATTAGGATATTTACTGTGCCTTGGACACCATTTTATGGTAGATATTTGATTTGGGAGTTTTTTTTCTTGGAATAAAAGCCTAGATTTGGAATCGGCCCATTGGGGAAGGGTCCTACTGATTCCATTTATTGATTATGACCCACAAGGTTTTTAGTTTTCCAATGGATATAAACTGCTGCCAACACCAGACCTGAAGAACCTTTGCTATTGGATAATGAAGATTTTCATTGATTTTGGTGAATGTGCCAATTTTAGTTTTGAATTTAACATAAGCTGGAATTTATATTATGAACATTTAATTTCTAGATAATTGTTTTGAATTTAACATAAGCTGGAATTTATATTATGAACATTTAATTTCTAGATAATTTCAGAAGACATCATAACCTTTGCATCATCGCTTGTAAATTTGCGATGCCAGAGACATTTTGAGAGCTGTTCCTCCTTGAATGAAAAGCTAGCATTTTAACCTTTGGCTTTTGTTTTGCAGGGACTAATTTCTTCTTCCTACATCAATTGATTTGCCCACTTCTGCTGTTATAATAGAGAGAAGACAATACATATTCTGCTGGTTGAGGGCTGCACGTTCCCTGCTATAGAGAGGGTAGAGACCGGAAGAGCCAAATTGTATTATTCTCCACTGAAATTTTAGTGTACCGGTTGTTGAGAATTTGGGATCTTCATATTTTGTATCATGTAAACTAGAAATGTAATTTAATTAATGATTTTGGCTTAGCTTTTTAGTTGCAATTTTGTGGTATTCACTTCTTTCATCCTTGTTAAATAGTTTTATTCTTTCATTTGATGACACCCCTTGGAACTTTGATCGATTATTGGTTTTTTTAGTATGATGCATCATTGGAAGTGATCCGGTAATGAGAAGCGTCTCTAAATATGCTGCAGAATTTCAACTCTGAGCAATCCGCGTCTGGTTTATTGTTTTTTCACCGGATTCAATTGAGCATTTTTTGACATTGTTTCTTCATTGAAAGCCATAAAATAAAAATATATATATAATAAAAAAAAGGAAAGGAAAGCTGCATGTTGTATATTTAGCAATCAACTCTTAACAAAAAATTTATATTAAACTACAATAATTTTTAGAATTGAAAAATGACAAAGTAAATATTATTTAAAATCTGGAGAAAAGCTGACTACATAAATAGATGAATTTTACAATTTTAACTATTACGCAAAAAATTGACCAGTTCACCAGGTAATAAATAATTTTAAAATTTTGATAGAGAAAGGGTTAATGAGAATGAAATATATAATTTAAAATAATAAAAATAGGGGCCACAATATATAACTTAAAATATGTAGGTGCAATAAGTAAAAATAAAATGTAAAAACAAATCATATTAGAGGTGAATTTATATTTGAGGATGTTAAAAAAACAAATCATATTAGAGGTGAATTTATATTTGAGGATGTTAAAAAAACAAATCATATTAGAGGTGAATTTATATTTGAGGATGTTAAAAAAACAAATCATATTAGAGGTGAATTTATTTTAAAGAAACATTTTGCTAAAAAAACAAAAATTTAATTTTTTGTTAAAAACATTTTGCTAAAAAAAAAAAATTTAATTTTGTTTATCCTTACATCACTTTCTTATAATTTATTAGTACTTTTAGCTTTTAATACCTAAGTTTTCATATTCAGCTTTTATTTTTTTAATATGATATCATAATCCATCCCTTTTTACCAATTACCAATATTAATGAACTGAAAAAAGTAATATTCAAAATTTATTTATTGAATAATTAAGGCAGATGTGAGAGAAACAGCAGTAGGAATAGGATTGGAAAGGCAATCGGAAGACAGCAATAATAGCTTTTTTTTTTCCAAAGAAGAATATTGTCCCATACTGCCTGTGTAAAAGTCTTGAAATCTTTTTTTATAACCTATTAGTATCTGCAAATTATGACAACAAGGTAATGAGATTGGGCTTGGAGAGAGGTTGGGCTTGAAAAAATTTGAATCGAAGAATCAACAGCCCATCAGACCAAAATGGAAAAATTGAATGAGGTTGGGCTTGGAAAAATTGAATTGAAGAAGCAAATCAACGGAGATGATTCTAGAAACTTTGGCATAGAAAAGTTTCTGCATTTCAACCCCAGCCTATTCATCTAAGCTGGGGTTGAAATGTCTAGAAACTTTGGCATAGAAAAGTTTCTGCATTTCAACCCCAGCCTATTCATCTAATAATGCTATAGTTGTTAGATGGGTTGAAACTGGTATAGTTGGTTAGATTTAGATGGGCGTTGAAATGTATGTTGTATAGATTGAATAGGCTGGGGTTAATGTATAGATTAGTTGAATCGGGTATGAAATGCATCTAACAACTATCACTTTTCACCCCAATCTAACAACTAATGACATTAACCCCATCTATTCAGTCTAAGCTGGGGGTTGAACGATCGTCTAAAACTATACATTTCAACCCCAAGCTTAGAATCGAATAGGCTGGGTTATGTATAGTTGTTAGCATGAGCTCGGGTTGAATGTATAGTTGTTAGATACCAATTTCAACCCCATCTAACAACTATACCATAACCCCAGCCTATTCATCTAAGCTGGGGTTGAAATGCTAAACAGACTGATAACATTTCCAACCCCAGCTTAATGAATAGAGCGGGGTAATGTATAGTTGTATAGATGGAGCTAGGGGATGAAATGTAAGTTTAGATGGGCTGGGGCTTGATAACATGTATAGTTGGTATAGCATGAATAGGCTGGGGTTGAAATTGATTCATAACAACGACAACTATCTTCAAGATCTAAAACCCCCAATGGTGAGAGTCCTATAAAAACCCCCCATCCGCAATGCATTTCCTACAGAAACTTTTCAAGAAGGCTAAAACCCCCCATGTGCAGTCCTAATAAAAACCCGCCCACTCGCCAGCTCGGATTCTTCAGCCCTGATTCTCTGCCAAGCATGAGTCATTGCAGCTTCTCTACCTATCTGCGATTCTTGCGTTCTTCTACCATTATTGCGTTCTTCTAACAAGACGTAGCAGGAATTTAAAAGAAAAATGCATCGAAAGGCTAATATCATTAAATTATATGGTTGCAAAACTTTTATTGTATACTTCCAAGTTCTTCAGGTGTTCTCCTTCATGCGCCTAGACAGAGCACACTTGTTAACTTCTCTATCATTTCACAGCCATCCAATCCTTATTCAATTCATGAAAAAGAATTATTACACTAAACTCTTCCAAAAAATTTTATCCCACTTGGGTCCCAATTATGCTAAGCAGTCTAACTAAAATTTATGCACCTTGTGTTTATCCTTATCAATTACAAAGTAATAAGTGAGTTTAATGAAATGTGCTTCTAAAAGCCTTCTAATAGTTTTTTTATTTCATCTTTTTCTTTTCATGGGAAAAAATTTTAATGCAGTACCAATAATGTATTTCAACTTAGAATCATAGCAAACAAGTTTAATTGGGCCTCATTCAAAACTCAAAGCTGTATGGATTAGAATACATACTTTGGATGATACAGACACATACATTATATTGCCAATCTTTCTTGTTGCTCTACTCACATATGGGTTTGGAACTATCTTTCAAGCTTGGAACTCCTTCAATTCAATTACTAGCAAAGTTGGCTTATTTGCTCTTGGATTAGCCGTAGTTGCACTTGTGCTTATGGTTCTCCCAATTTTGGGTTGGATCATTTTAATCTTATGGGCCTCATTGGTCACTAAAGTAATATATAATTCAAGAGATAAGGCCTACAGTTTAATCAGCAAATTACGAGAGAAATTCAACAAGATAATTGGAATCACAAGTCAAGTTACAGAAGAGCAAACTACAGGAGAGATAATTGAAATCATAAGTCAAGAAATCATAAGTCAAGTTACAGAAGAGCAAACTACAGGAGAGATAATTGAAATCAATAATTGAAATCAGAAGTCAAATTACAAGTTACAGAAAGCAAACTACAGGAGAGATAATTGAAATCATAAGTCAAGTTACAGAAGAGCACGATAATTTATCTATGTAATTCTTTTTTGAAATAGTGTAGCTCCCTAGCTATATAGAGATTGAAAATGTGCTATTTTGTGCAGTTACTATACAATGGAAAAGAAATAGAATTTAAAAGAAATAGAATTTTTATTTAATTTCAGTGTTAGTCCTTTAATTTCATTTATTCAATTAATTTCAGTGTTACTATCTCTCCACGACCCGACCCGACCCGACCACGCCTCTCCTTCCTACTAAGTACTAACTGCCTCTCTCTTGATCTCTTCAAATTTTGATTAATCGCTTGAAATTGGTGAGAACCTTCCTTTTTCTTTTTCCCTTTATTTTTTCATTTGTTGGTTTTAAGCTCTGCGATTACTATACAGGTGCTACGGAGATCAATTCACTTTTTTGCAATAATGATTGAATCCTGAATTTAGTTAAATTAATTAAATTCGATGAATTTTTCTTTTGTTTTTCTGAAATTATCATAAAAAATTGAAAATTTCCGCTTTACTTAAATCTTAAGTTTTTATCGGCTGTGATGATGTTAATATATATTTTCATCAAATGAGCATGTAATACTTTCGAGCTACAAGAAATCGGAGAATGGAGATGGGTTGTATGTGGATGAGGCGCGTGCGGTCAGTTGTTCTCGTAAATCACCCTTCCATGGTCTCCTCATCTGCTTGGCTCTCAATTCCTTACCCTCTTCAATTTCCTTACCCTAATCGATTCATCTCTCTCTCCTTCTCTAAAAACAACTCTCTTCATCACCGCCACCGCCCAAATCTCCATCTTTCCACCCACTTCTCTTTTTCTCTTCGCGCCTCTTCCGCGCGTCGTTCCGTTTCGACCGCCGCTTGTTCATCGTCACTGCTTCCTGTTTATATGGGTAAGCAGATAAATCGTTTCCCAGTAACATATGTTGTTTTTCGAGCTCCCATTTTATTTATTTATTTGTTTTGTGGTTGTTTATTTGTGTAGGAAGTAGAGACATGAATGCTATTCTAACCAATGGTTCAAAGGTGCTTCTTAAGGGAATGAATTACACTGAGCTTCAAGTGTGTTTTTCTACTGTCTTTTTCTTCCTATGCTAAACTCAAAAAAGTATATAATTTTAAACTGTGGTACAAGCTAGCTAGGCTATAGCTAGGCTAGAAATTCAAAATGAATTCTGATATTCCAAACATGAGAATTTATGTATAATTTTATGTTCAAGTTTTCCAAGTAATAATTGTGGGAATCCACTATGCCAGAAATGGGTTCAAGCTCATGGATCCAGACCTGGTCAAGCTATGATGCTGTGGTAGCGTCTTTATGGGGAAAATATTTGGGCGCATTATGTTGATGAGCTAGAAGGTATATTCTTACACCAATTTCTATATCATTATCATGCCATTTATGTTGATAGTTGTAACTATTTTCGTTTTCCATTTTTGACTTTTAAATTTTTCTTTATTTTTCATAATAAATATAGATAATTTTTTTTTTTATTTAGTAAAAATTGAATGGATGAAAATAATATTATAAATTATATAGCAAAAAGTAATATTTTCTTTTTAACAATCCTTACCAAATTAGTAACTACTCTTATAATTAAACACTCACTTCTCATTATTAGGAGAGGAAGTCGGCCGCACTGACTCGTGCCTTGAAATCGCCGGAAAACCGAGCTGGAGGCGGGACTTCATGGTCGAGCTGAATCGCGACCCCTCCGACAGTTGCTGCGCTCGCCAGGAGCGAAGGAGAGAGGGGAAAGGAGGTCGGAGCAACCGCAGGGGTGATGCGACGGCGAGAAGGTGAGCTCGATCGGTCCCGGTGTCCGGAAACGGGGAGGGAAGGGCAGCGTGCGCTCTGGCGCTGAGGAAGAAGAAGAAGAAGAAGAAGAAGAGAGGAAAAGAAAGAAGGTAGGTGGGTTTCTATATCATTCCGATTCGAACTGGTTTGGTCTGATTCAACTGTCTGACTTGGTTCACTTGATTTTCGAAAATTTCAAACGGGCTCAGCTAATTTATTTTAATTAATTTAATATTTAATGTCCAAAATAATTCTTAAAGAGTTTAGAAAATTTTCGGTTAAGGACAAAAATTACACAGCACTTTCAGCCCACGCAGTTAAATTTTCTGATGTTTGATTTAATAAAAATTTAAAAATTTTGAAAATAAAATTACGATTGTTTCACTATTTTGAATTTTATGATGATTTATCGTATATTTGAATTTATAAATTTTGATAATATTAAATACTTTTTCATATTAATAACAGTAGTGTTTAAAATTTGTTGAATAATAATTTTCACAAATTTTAATTATTTTATATGTGTTTTGAATAATAATTTTCACAAATTTTAATTATTTTATATGTGTTTAATTAATCTATTTTGTAAATTAAAACATTTAATAAAATAATTTTATAAATTAAAATATTGAATAAATTAAAATTAAAATGAAAATCACTGTAAAATTTAAGTAATAAAGGTAAATGGTGAATTTATGTATATGGGTAAATTGCCTGTGAATCACTATTGAAGTACGTATTCATAACATTCTTTGTCAGTCCGGGTGGAAGGCACAGAAGGAAAGAGAGGAGAAAGTGAGCTGAGCAATAAAAAAATTCAAAAAAATTTAAAATTTTGACAGAGAAAGAGCTTTTGACAAAGAAAGGCTGAACGGTTACATAAGTTGCGCTGAAGTTTTCTTCCTCCATGCATAATTTAATCCATGTACATATTCCTATTGATATGGATAAATGCGAAGAAAGAAGTATTGTTTTATTCAATCCATAATGTGAGATAACATTCTATTTCCTATTGATATGGATAAATGCGAAGAAAGAAGTATTGTTTTATTCAATCCATAATGTGAGATAACATTCTATTCTTTACGGAAAAAAAAATCAAAAGCAATGCAACAACAAAATAAAATAAAATAATGCAATATATAAAGATTGAAAAAGAGTAGGTTTAATACAACAAAAAAACAGGAGCCACAATATATAATTTAATTTTAATAAGGTTACTGGGATTCTTTTATTTTAATTTTTATATAGGCATCGTGATTTTTCATCTTTAAAACTAAGAACAAAAACAAAAAATTCGCCCGACCAACACAATAGCATCATGTGCGGAATAAAGTCAATGCAAACCTTGAAAACTAAAACAATATCAGATGTGAGCCCTGTGAAACAGGCCTTACAAACTCGTACATAAAATAAAAAGAGCAAAGAGCACATATTTGCTATACTTATATCAGTCGGTCTTGCCACATTCGTTTCCTTACTCTTTCGGCAGGGAACCAGGCCTTTTCCTGTGTTGGTAGTCATCATTCGCAACTAAAAAATAGCAAGCACGAAGAATTTAAAAGAAAATGCCAATCGAAAGGTTAGTGTCGTTAAATACTGGGTTGTCAAACTTTTTATGTTGCTTCAAGTTTTTCAGTATTTCATTCATGGCAAGACAGAGAACACTTGTTTCACTTCTCTATCATTTCAAGCTATATCAATCTTTATTACAATTCATGAAAGATTATTCAAAACTCTTCCAAACTTTTTACCCATTTTGCAATTATTGCTAAGTTTATAAGATTTATGCAACTTTGTTTATCCTTATCAATTTTTGGTTGGATTATTTTAATCTTATGGGCCTCCTTGTTCGCAAAAGTAATATATAATTCACGACAATAGATTTACCGTTTAATTAGCAAACTACAATAGACATTCAACAAGATCATTGAAATCTTAAAACGTTTTGTTACAGAAGATCACGATGATTTATCCATGTAATTCGTTTTTGAAATAATGTAGCTCTCTAGTTACATATCCATTGAAAATGTGCTATTTATGTAATTACCGTAAATGATTGAATCCTGAATTTGATTAAAAAAAGATTAAATTAATTAAATCTGATGATTTTTTTTTTTGTTTGTTTTTCTGAATTTTTCTGAAATTATCATAAAAAATTGAAAATTTCAGCTTTACTTAAATATTGAGTTCTTGTCGGCTGCATATATGTCGATAATTATCAGCACTTATACTCTATTATTAATAATTGAGCATAATTGCTATGGTCAGGAGCAAAGAGCCTTGTGGACTGCAGTTGAAATAACAATTATTAGCATGTTGCGGCAAACTCCTGTCTGTAAGGGGCAGGTCTCTTCTCTTATATTTCATTTCCGATGTTTCAACTCTCCATTTCTGTGATTGGTCAATACATGGTTAAGGTTATAATATTTGTGCATTTGACACTCACTGTGAAAACTGATTTCATCATTCATTACACCACATATTAGTACAACATATTCCGCTTTCCTGTTTTCTGTTACCAGCCCCATAAGCTGACATTTGCTTCTTTTATATTTTCTTTTGTAATTCTTGCCTACCATAGTATGTTATGGTTCTTGTATTATACGCGGCCCCTCGCATTTGTTTTGACAAATGCATCAAATCAGAGTCCTCCTAAAAATATTCATAATTTTATGATCTGTTTTCAAGTTTCTTATTATGTTGATTGAAATTTCATCACATGTATTGTATGAACAATGAAGTTCGTTGAGTATTGGGTGATTGTTCTCTTTTAAAAAAAAAATTGTTTTTGGGAAAATTAATAGCTATTGAAATTTCATGCTTATTGCATTACGTGCATCTTTTGGTTTCTCTTGGAGTGCACCGAAGATGAAGATAACGCCATGAACGATCTCTATCTGTCACTTTCCTTCGACCACTTGACGCCGCGACATGACACTACCTGTTCTGAAAGATATGGTAGTATGGAAGTTTGGTGTATGCATGATGTGGTTAGTAGCTCATTACTGAGGAAGGAAGAAGACTAACATTGAAAATCTGACCAATGAAATCATATGAGGACTCTAACTTTAATTGTGTCGAGTCACCCCAACCAGCAATTCCATCAACCCGGCGATCTAGTCGATTCCCCAAGAAAAGAATAAAAGCTTCCGGAAAGAGGAGTTGTCCTGCTGGAGTGTGGTCAACTATGAACACCGCTGAGGAACAAGGATAGAAGGAAAAGATTGGCCGAGCTTTGGAGCACTTGATCTCGGTATCTAGAAGCTCTAACGTTTAGTTGCTTCTTAATACGCTTTGCCTTAAAATGTGATCTCCTGTGGCGAAGAGATGATGTGATCTCTTCTGTATTGAGAAGATGCGTGTCCTCAATGGCATGATTGCTACCCGTTGAGAATGCATGGAAGGGACGGATTATTTGGTAAGCTGTCGCCAGAAAATGCGCCGGGCATTGGTTTGAACAGTTAATGCAAAGTGTGTGGTGACACACAAAAATATGTCGATTGGCTAATGAAGCTACTCTCGGAAGTCAACAGGCCAGGGTATGCACCAGTAAGCTACTTAGCGGGGATCACGATTCATGGGGCCACGATAGAAAACTCTTCTTGGAAGTAGAGTAAAGGTTGTTTTACAAGTGGCGATAACTTTTTATGGTGGAGTATGATAATTCTTGACAATAAAAATTATGATTGTCGGTAGCAAACAATGTTGTGTTTTTTTTTCAAGGTGGAGATTGTTAGCCTCCTTGGTTGAAAATAAGAAAAAATATATATATATATAAAATATAGTTTGCTCAATCCCACATCGAGGAGATTGAGATTTGTGGGTAGGTGGATTGGCTATAAAAAGAAGTCAATGTTTAGGTTTCTAAACACACCAAAAATATTTGAATGTGTTTTATATTAGAGATTTAAAGCAAGTCTTTTGGAGTCCCTTGGAGTATAAAATATTTGGGGTGTTTTTTGATTTACGACGCACGGTCTCTTGGAGTATACAGATAGATCATTTGGTTGGATGTTGGTCTTGAATGGGTGTCTCGGGTAGAAAAAATATTTTGTAATTGTGGTCTGTAACATTTTTGTCCGCATAGTGGAATTTTTACTGTAATTGTGGATTTGATCGTGAATTGTCGTCTGCTCTTTAATTTCATGCAAGATCATTATTTTTATTTTCTCATTTGGTCAGTCATTATTTTATTTTCTCATTTGTTTTTCCCAACAGGTTATGTATTACTTCTCATTGCTGACTAGCAGTATAGATG